TTTAGTCAAAAGATTTGAAAATCTGAAGAGCGTAACAAAGATGTAAGGTTTTCCAGCAGAGAACCAAATGATTTTATTGCTTCCATATGTCTTATGGCACCAGGGACTGCTAAAATTTGTCAAGTGCTACAGAGACAAATTTATAATGCAGAATAACTCTGTGAAGAACTTGGAAACCAATTTTACAGTACGCATCAAAATTAAAAGAAAAAATTGAAAACAGAGTATAACTTTTTGTATAAAAATTTTCAGATCTTCCCTTGTAATATCCGACACTATGTTCCTTGCTGATAGAAACAAAGTTAATTCCATCCATTAATCATAAAAATTGTGTTNAAATTGTGTTAGATACAGAGTTTTTAAACACAATGCTTAAAATTGTTTAAGCGCCCTAACAGGAATGGACATTTAAACGCAGAGTAGCAACGTGCATTTTTTTAATAGCACTTCACTCAAATCCAACCCAAAGGATATGGGTGAAGTGATATTGAACTTACTTATGGAATTGAACCCTTCTTGAGAACCCCCCAGTTGTGCAGTCACTCAAGAAATTTCCAGCTTTTCATGGATCCCGAAGGTTCATTACTGTGTTCACAAGAGCCCTCCACTGGTCCCTATCCTGAGCCAGATCAATCCACTCCATATCATACCATCCTATATCTCTAGGATACATTTTAATAGTGTCCACCCATCTACACCTTGGTCTTCCTAGTACTGTCTTTCCTTCTGGCTTTCCCACCAATATACTATATGCATTCCTCGCTTCCCCATTCGTGCTACATGCCCTGCCAACCTCATCCTCCTTGACTAGTGATACTGAACACAGTTCAAAAATAGAAATAGGTTTGGGGGGGGAACCTCTGCAGCACAAGAGATCTGGCTGTTAAAGTATTTATTGCTATTCTAGCGAACAAAGCATTGGGGGGGGGGCACCTCAAAATAGTTGCTATGTTAGCATACCTTCTTACCGACTGTACTCTCGGCCCTGTCTACCATTTTAAATTTAGTTAAAGTAGGATGCGTGAGATGGCAGCAGCATTGCACCGCGGTGTCATGGCGGTCATGGCAGCCATGTTGGCCACCAATAACATGGGAGTTTTCTGGGGCTGCTAATAAACGTGCTAACCCAAATGACCTATACAGAGGCGTAGGAATCTCATTGTAGCGACAATTAAAGTTTGAGTTCAGAGCTGTGACTGTCAACTTTTAAACACTTCGGCTGAATGTGTACAACATGTTCTCTCATTTCGTAATGCACTGATGCACACCCGTCTAATGGCCACATTTATTTGCACTTTATTCCTTTAATGCTAAACTTAAATGACAATATTATCAGATGTCCCACAGTAAGAAATAGAGAGATGACGTCCTGAGTGACCTTTTGTTGGTCCCCCACTATCCAGTGAAGCAGTTGGGGAACATCTTTTCTAAAAAGTACCAAATGTT